CACCCCCACCCCCAAGACATCTCTGACAAGCCTGTCACCTCTGCCCCTATCCCTGGGCCTCTAAGGGACCTGCACAACAGGGTGTCTGTTGCTATGGAGACCCACCTGCGCTGAGGCCCCACTCTCCTCTCAATCCCGCACCCCTGGTGAGCTGAGCCTCTTCCCCGCCAACACATACACGGAGAGGCTCCCTGTAGACCTGACCTGTACTGTTCTCCCTCTCTTCTCTCTGGCTTCCCACCCTGGTCCAGACCTACAGCTCACACGCTATCACCCCACAATCTGCCCCACATCATCCTGCCCCTACAAGGATTAGGAGACCACCAGAGAGCTCTTATACGACAGAAAGAAAGGGGTGGGTGGGAAAGGGATTGATTTACAGTAGGTCCTGCTCCTCAGACACTGCCTTTCCCCCAACCTCCACGTGTCTCCCACCCATCCAGACTCAAACCCCGGGGAAGACTTGGACTACAACTCCCAGCAGGCCGCTCAGCCTGAAGTCCTGGGCTGAAGGAGCAAGGCACGCTGGGAGATGGAGTCTCGGCGTGTTGCACCTGCCGCAGGAACCAGTGAGGGGGAGGAGGGTGGATGAAGGAGATGGAGTGCGGATGCGGTGGGAGCTGCCTGCAAGGCCTCTTTCCCCGAACTCAAGTCTTTCCGTCCTCTGCGGAAGCGGAGGGGCACATGCTCACTCACTGCCCTTCTCCAAGGTCCGGCAGAGAAAGAGCCCCTTCCCCCACCCTCCCCTCCTCCCCCGCACCGAGCTCTGCAGCTCCTCCTCCGACATCCAACCAGGAGTTGTTCCAGGCAGGGCCGGACCAACGTGACCTAGCCGGGAAAGGGGTGAGAGAGAGCGGGGCTGGAGAGAGGGCACTGAGAGAAAGGATTGTCCACAAGTGTAGGCAGAAAATAATGACCTGCAAGCAGTATGTAAATGAGCTCAGGGGCACCTCCCTCTCAGGGTAGAGTCTCTGAGGGCACCTGTTTTAACAGGTCTCCAGATCCTCTCCTCCTCTCCCCCCCCACCCCTCCCTCTGCCCCGCCGGGTCACTCACTCACCACCTTCCAGCGATCCTTGACCACGTAGTTGGCCGGCAGGATGTCGGCCTGCTCCCCTCCCCCACTCATGTTGGTTTCGTCCTTAAGAGCAGCCGCTAGGCACTGCATCCGCCAGCCGGAGGGAGGGGTGTCCGCAGGGCCTGCCCTGAGGGGGCCATCTACCTGGGAAAGTGGGGAGGGGCTGTGAGTGGGGCTGGTTATGGACGCAGGCCCACCTTGCAGATATGTTGGGGAGCTCCAGTCTAGCAGGCATCCTTCCTGGGCCCACTGGGTAGATGCTCCAGGGGTTACTGGGGGGAAGCACTGTGTTAGCACCGGAGTGGAGGTCAGAGAGAAGACAACTATTCTCCACAGGAAGGGAAATACAAACTACAAACTGGAGAAGTGAAAACCTGCAACACACGATTGAAAAAGGAGAGGAAATGATGTGTGAACAAGCTGTGGGGAGAGCATTTCCCAAGGAGACGTATGTTAGCTAATGTGAGGAAGACTTGCTAACCAAGGGGCACACCAGACTTGGACTCATGCTGGTACTGGAAAGATCTAGGCCAAGAAGGGCCACTCTTGAGTGACTCGATCTATGGCCCCCTAGTCGTCACACATTCCCTGTGCCACAAAATGACCAGGAAGCTATGCATCTGAGGCTTATTGAAAGGGAGGAACTGCTGACCAAGGAGTGGCCCATGGAGACGCACCCCAGAGTGACAGAGATGGGCTAACTATCCATGGGAGATGTGATAGTCAGAGAATGAGGAGATACCCAACAGCCCCTCAAGGATGGTGCTGAGTGAGGAGGATGCAGCTGCTGAGAGGCACACACCATTCTCAGTGGTGAGCCGAACCACTGCCACAGTCCTGGGTTTGAGAAGCAAGGATGGAGTGATGAGGTGAACAGACGGCAATGGACTCAAGACATGGATTTTAGAGGGACAGCAGCTATATGGCCACTTGGAGAGAGTCAGGCTGAACTGGGAGGAGTTGAGGATTGCAGGAAAGTGGGAGCAACCTAACAGAGGAGTGACAGGGAGCAGCAGGCCTGGGTGGGCATGGGGTGCGAGACCTGTCTCACCACACCTGTCTGTGTCTGCTCAGGAACTAAGAAGGAACACAGCTCTTGTTGCATAGGAAGGATAGGTAGCAGGGATAGCAGGGAGAGTGTCCCAACTGTGAAGGTTGGGAAAGTCAGCCAGTGTTACCCAGGGAAATGCAAGTGTGTGCACGTTTGTGTCTGCGTGTGTATCTGTGCATGTACCCCTCTGTGTGTTATGTCTTTGTGTGTGTGTGTCTTGTGTGTGTGTGTGTGTGTGCACTTGTGTCTATGTCTGCACATCTGTATCTGTGTGTGCTTATGTGTGATTTTGTGTCTCAGTGTGTGATGTACATGTGTACAGGCACAGGGCCAGAAGAGATGACTTTTTGAGATCTCTGCCAACCCAGTACAGGAATGGAACCAAGATCTCTTCTTCGCTTCTTACCCTCTATACCAGCGATTCTCAACCTTCCTAATGCCGCGACCCCTTAATACAGTTCCTCATGTTGTGGTGACCCCCAACCATGAAATTATTTTCGTTGCTACTCTATAACTGTAATTTTGCTACTGTTCTGAATCGTAATGTAAATATCTTTTTGTTTTCTGATGGTCTTAGGCGATCCCTGTGAAAGGGTCGTTCGACCCCCAAAGGGGTCGCGACCCACAGGTTGAGAACCGCAGCTCTATATTTTTTATAAGCATTGTGCTCTGCCCTCGCAATGACCCTGGAGAGTCACAGATGGAAGGAAGTCACTCAGGCTGGGATGGGGGGAGGGGAGGGTGTGGAGTGAAAGAAAGTGCCTAAGAATCTATGGATGATGGTGAGAGCTCCCTAAACCTATCTTTCCTTAGGATGGGATAATTCTCCAGGGCTCCCGTGTCTAGCTATCCGGATACAGAGGCAGTGTGGGATAGTAAAGGCATGGAGACAAACTTTCAACACGTCATGGTGTGCCATGAGGGACGTGTGGAGATGGGTTCTTCATGGGGAGGGACATGTTTTTTCTGTCTTTCTGCAAGTGATTCAGCTGACTGCTTTCCAATCCACACAACTTCATAGTATCAGAAATGTGGGGCTAAAATAGGTCTCTGCCCGCCTTCTGCCAAGTGGCATATGGGGCAGGAATTTGCAGGGCAGAGAGGGAAATGACAGGATGAAGGAAGAGGTAGGGATGAGGGGGGGGGTTCTGGAATAAAGGTGGAGAAAACAGGTTGAGGACAAGATAAAAGAAGCAATTGAACCAATAGGGAGAGAGCCTTAAGGAGTTGAACAGGGTGACCTCTGGTGAGCTTTCCAGCCCTAGGATGGTGTATTCTATAGGTTGATGAGAAAAATTTGGGTCCTGCTTTCATTTTATAGATGGGCAAAGCCTAGAAGAAACAGTTGAGATGGGAAAAGGGAGAGTGGAGGCAGGAAAATAAATGAGGGTTCCCTGCCTCTGCATATCCACCATCCTTCCTACTCTTTGCCTCAGAAGAATACACTCAGCTCAGATTATGGTTGGATGGAATGAACTTGAGTAATTTGGCTGCCCCATTACTGCCCCTTTTGGATATGTGGAGACATGGGTGTGTAGTGAGAGATGGCTGTGGAGGAGGTTTTTATGAAAATCTGTCAGAGATTGTGTGTATTTGAGATTGTAGGGCCAATGATGGATGTGTCTGTGCCTCTGTGTGTGTGTGTGTGTG